CGCCGCTGGGCCCGTCTACCTCAGCGGGCTGCTGCTGGGCCCGTCTACCTCCGCGGGCCGCCGCCGCAGGCCTACCTGCGTCTGCTTCTTATATTCATTTTTATTTTTAGTCATGTATTATTCTTTGTGGGGTTTTTGAACATAAGTGCAGGTGCCCATGGAGTCCATAGGAGTTGGATCCCTGGAAATGGGTTCCATGTGGGTATGAGGCACCCAATGTGGGGGCTGAGAACAGAACTCTTGGCTTCTGTAAAAGTAGCATGCACTCTTAACTATGGAGCCATCTCTTCAACCACATATTTCCTACTTTCTTTCCTTCGTGGAAATCTATCTAGATTCAAAACTCTCTAAGGAGCTTTGGGAAGTGATATTAAATGATATTTATAACCTTAGAGATGAATAATTCACCAACAGAGTGATTAGCTGAAGAAGAGAAAGGAAGGACTGAGTCCTGACCCAGAACTTAGTGATGTTATCAGAGCATAAACCTGGAGCAGGTGGCACAGCTCTGGGGCTGTGTTTAAAAAAACTAGAGAGTCCCAGACTTTGCTCTATCCAGAGTACCCTGGACATCACAAAATTCAGAAATTTTTGGTGCAGAGCTGAGACTCTGGGTGTTTGGTGCAGAAACTGCTGGTGTTCAGATAATACAGCAAGAAGGATGTAGACAAGGAGCCTCAAACTTAATACATCAGCCTCACTTATGGCTAAGTCATCCCTAAGGTTAGATGTGTTTGGCTCTATACCCAACATTTCAGAAACTGGGCAACAGTGTTTCCGGGACTTCAAGGCCAGTCTGAGTCGCTGTATTAGTTACATTGTTGTGACAAAAGGCCGACAGAAACAACTTTTTTTTTTTTTTTTTTTTTTTTTTTTTTGGCAAGGGTTTTTTTTGGGGGGCTTTGCGCCTTTCCTGGAGCTCACTTGGTAGCCCAGGCTGGCCTCGAACTCACAGAGATCCGCCTGGCTCTGCCTCCCGAGTGCTGGGATTAAAGGCGTGCGCCACCACCGCCCGGCTTTTTTTTTTTTTGTGTTTTGTGTTTTTTTGTTTTTTTGTTTTTTCTGGAGCTGAGGACCGAACCCAGGGCCTTGTGCTTGCTAGGCAAGCGCTCTACCACTTAGCTAAATCCCCAACTCCCCAGAAACAACTTTAAAAAGGTTTATTCTGATTCACGATTTAGGAGGGGACAGGCCATCTCAACATAAGGCACTGTGGAGTTCATGACACTGGAGCATGTGTCTGGGACTCCTCAATCGTCAGTGGATCAGGAAGCAGAGGATGGAGATCTTCTCAGTTGGCTTTCTCCTGCTCTTCCTTTTATTCAGACTTGGCCCTAGCCCAAGGGATAGCACCACTTCCACTCAGAGTGGGTCCTCCCTTCTCATTTATCACCTCTGAAAACATTCTCATAGACATGCCCAGAATGGTATCTCCTAGGGGATTCTAAATCCAGTCAAGTTGACAGTGAAGAGTAACCATCCCAGCTACACAGTGAGTTCAAAGCCAGCCTGGCGTACAGCGGAGGACCCTGTATAAACAAACAAACAAAAAAGGAGGAAGTAAGTCCTGTGCTCCATACTCAACAATCTAAATGACAGATGCAGAAAGAGGCCTGAATACTTGGGAAATGGTTCATGACCACTGATGTTATTAGTAAGAACAGTATACAAGAAGAAGAAGGGTCTTGCCTGGGCATTATTATTATTATTGTTATCATTATTTTGTTGTTGCCCAAGAAAGAAAAGGGAGGATATTATATCATCACTCGCTGGCCTGTTCAGAAATGCATATTGTTTTCTCTACCATGGGGTATGTATAGCCTCAGATGAGTGACATAAGAAGTAATTATATAAGGAAAGTCTCTAATTGGTTGTTATCTGAACTGATTTGTTTTTTTTTTTAGGTAGAAATAGTGAAATCTAAAGTCTTATCATTTAAACATAAAATAATTTTATATGTGATACTGGAGAATAGGAGATTCTTTTGTCTTAGAAAACCCAATAAACTAAATTCTGATAGGCCCATCAACATCAAGTCCCACATATGACCACTGGGCAGAGAACCACTGACACCCTGGAACTGGTCACTGTGACAGTTTCCCTGCTGCTCCTGGAAGCTGTGTGTGACAATGCCATCCTTCCCAAATGCAATCTATGCACTTCTAGCCTTTCCTTATTACCATGTGCTGAGTCACCGTCCAGCATGTAGTCATTAGTGATGGAACTAGGGACTCATGTGGTGCCCAGCTGCAGGAATGTTTGAGAAAGTGGTGAGGGACTTGGTCTCTGCCTCCTTTCTACACTGTAACTGGGTATTTCCCTAATGTGTAAAGAGAACTCAAGGGCTGGGATATATGCTAAAGGAATGGAAATGGAACGAGGAAAGTTGACTTCTGGAAAAGTTATCTGAGAAACCACATCAGGGAAAAGAAAGGGACTGATAGGGATGCAGGATAATGATGCCCTAGAGTTCCCCATAGCCCTGGAATAAATGTGCTAGTACAGAGTCTCAGGTTGGGTAAGTACACTTGTATAGATATGTCTCACAATAACAAAACAGGAGATGAGCACATTTCCACCTAAGACTTCAACTCTATGGAGACAAAACCCTCAGACACCAATCCCTTCCCTACTCTTACTTTTCCTCATGATCACAATGGCAGTCACAGCTCCAGTGACCACAACTCCAAGGAGAACCACACCAATATTCATTCCAATCTTGGGCGGAGGAGATGGCTCTGGGAAAAAGGGGTGGAGAAGAATGAATTGAGTTGAGAGGCCCTAAGCCCCAGCTCAGCACTGATCCCACTCAGGGTCTCCAGGTCACCTGTTTTTCCTGACAACAGGCTCTGTGCTCACACCCCTCCTTACCCCATCTCAGGGTCAGGGGCTCTGGCAACCCCTCATGATGCACAAGGCATGTGTGTCTCTGCTCCTCTCCAGAAGGTACTACCACAGACGCCCACTTCTGGAAGGTTCCATCCCCTGCAGGCCTGGTCTCCACTAGCTCCATGTCCTGAATCTGGTCCTCCCCATCACGTTGCCAGGTCACGGAGATCTCAGCTGGATAGAAGCCCAGGGCCCAGCACCTCAGGGTGACATCTCCTTCATGTCTTAGATGATGGGTTACATGTGCCTTTGGGGGATCTGAGAGAAAGAGGTGGAAAATTCAGGCATTTTATATTCTTTCTGGGCATTTAAGCAGTATTTGTGTGACCATCCTGGCAATGGACAGTAGATTTGGGAAGCTACAAGGGTACAAGTCCCACACTGTTGCCTGCACTCAGGCATCAGGATAATCTATTCCCTGTTAAGTTCTAGAATCATGGTGAGCCAGCCCAGTAGAGACTCCAGGTTTCCCACCACGAAAGGGGGGGGGGATTTCAGGTCCTGAGTGAGTGGGGCGCTAAGAGACTCAGCATCACTCCATCAAGCCTCCTAAAACACTGGGTGTGGACAGCACACCGGTCTTCGGAGAGGCCATGGCTCACAATGGGCTGTAGATCGAGGGAACTGCTGGTTGGTTATTTCTGAGTTCTCTCTTCCATCTCAAGAGAGACCCTTGAACATTCCTGAGGCCCTTGGGAAAGTCTCTCACTGATGTTGAGTCAGTAAACCCAGGAGCACTTTTACCCCTCCAAATTAAGGAGCCGGGGATATTCCATCTGGTGACATTTTCCTACCTCCAGGGACATGAGGCCCAGTCCCAATGCAATAGAGGAATTTCCTCTGTGTCCATACCTGTTCGCTGCAGTGTCTCCTTCCCTATCTCCAGATGTCTGAGGAGGGTCTCTATGCCTCTCCCCTCCAGAAAGGCTCTGAAGAACTCTGCTACACCATCAGCTTTCCACTTGAGGGCAGCTATCTGAGCCGAGGTGTCGCCCGCAGTCCAGGAGCTCATGTCCTCGTTCAGGGTGAGGTAGTCTTTGCCATCATAACCGTGATCATGGTACCCTCGGAGGAGCCGCCCGTCTGGCCCAATTTCGCAGCCAAAAAAACACTGGAAGGTATGAGAACCTGGTCCCGCCCCTGAGGTCAGCACGGCCCACAAGGCCCCGCCCCACTCACTCTCGGTGTTTGGACCGAAACTGTTATCAAAACCGGGTCCTAGTCTCCTGGTGAAGAACCTCGGACCTTGGGGGCCTGAGGAAACTTGGCTTGGGGGTCACTCACCGTCATCACTGTGGTTGTAGATGCTCATTGCCAACTGCAGGTCTTCTCGGCCCCACAGTACGAAATTCTTGGCAAGGTTTATCTCCTCTTCCCAAAACTTCTGACCCATTCGCTTTACCCATGACCCTCGGGGCTCAGTCCTCGAACTCTCCGTGTTGCTGTCGAAGCTCATGAACTCCGTGTCATCCACGTAGCCGACGATGATGACTCGGGGCTCCCGGACTCCGGGACCAGATGTCGTGGTAATATAATAGAGCAGCGAGTGTGAGCCTGGGGGCGACGTGCTGTGAGACCCCCGACCCTTCCCCGGGGATCCGAGGGCAGGTGCACAGGCCTGGAGGGGAGTGGGGCACGGGACCTGGGACACGTGATGGCGGGGGGTGGGGTGGGGGGGATGAGGAGGAGAGGGCAGCCCGGCTATGGAGCCGTGCTGGGAGCTGAGTCGCAGCTTCCCAGGAGCTGCCTTCTTCCTCCCGGTAAAGGTAGTTTCCCTGTGGACTCTGCACTCACCGGCACTGGCCTGGGTCTCGGTCTGGTTAAGAGCCAAGACTGAAAGAAGCAGAAGGATGGGACATGGCGCTGTGGTTCCCATCCTTGGTGTCTGGAAACCCTGGGGTGACTGAGACCGTGTTCCTCACTGTGGAGTTTATAGCGTCGTGGTTTGTGGGGAGATACCACAGTGACTGTGAATGGTTTTCCTCAGAATTCGGGCACGCAGTGATAATGAGAACATTTGTCCGGATGGAAAGACTGAACAGCTGAAACAGGTGGTGAGCTTGAGAAATAACTCAGAGGCGAGGAGGAATCCCCAAACACGTGTCTTGACCAGGGACTTAAGGAGACCATTTCTTCCTGTACCTGGTGCTCCTTCTCAGATCCGCACTCTGAATCCTGTTCAGAAGCTGTGTCACACGAGATTCTGACTGTTTTGGATTCAGAATCTCTTGTTTGTGCTTAGACATTATTGAGGACTTCCAAGAGTTTTTATGTAGGTTGTATCTAACGACATATACCTTGTTAAAAACCGGAGTGTTTCATGGTGTCTGGTGTCTGCCTGTACACCCAGCACTTAGGAGGCTGTGCTAAGGTAGAAAGTTTGACCTGATTTTGAGGACAGTGTGGGCTACATAAGACTGACATTTTTAAAGTTACTTTTATTTATGTGTACATGTGTGTGTTTGTGTGAGTGTATTCCCCTGAAGGCCAGAAGAGAAGGTCAGATTCCCTGGAACTGGAGTTACAGGAGGTTGTGAGCTGGGAGTTCTGGGTGCTGGGAATCAAACTGGGGTTATCTACCAGAGTGGCAAGCACTTTTAACAACTGAGCCATCTCTCCAGCCCCTTGAGACTTTGTCTTAAAATTAAAAAAAAAAAAAAAAAGACATTTCACAAGCGTAACTAATTGCTGCTTATTCTGCAAGTGAGTGGTGGTGAAGAATGTAATAATTCCTAACTAGTTTGGTTTTACAGCCTTGATTCATACTAAGGTGTCAGGAGATTAACTCACTATCAAGCACAATACAGTAAATATGGCAAGTAAATTCTATAAGCTTTTCATTTTAGCTTCATGTATCCCATGAAAGTATATAAGTATCTTCCTGTTTTCACTGAACTTCAAGAATTACTGTTTTGAGTTGGGCTTAGCGACCCATGTCTTTATTCAGACCACACCATTTTAAGAGGCTGAGGCAGGGGGGTTGCTGACACTTAAAGAATAGCATGGGCTATATAAAAGAATGCAGAATGTCAGGGCATAGTCAGTGATTTTTAGAGGAGTCAATGGACATGGAGCACATCAATGGTCTATTGGGTGTAGAAAACAGGCTGCTTTGTAAACTTCAAACTTGCTCTCTTTGGAGTACTGACTGGGACTGAAGTCCATGATAATGGTGTGTGGGCAAAGCCTGTGCAGGATGCTGACAGGCTTCCTTCCATAAGAGTCAGTTAACAAAACTGAGGGAGAGGACCAGAGGTAATTGTTTTCTGTTTTCGTGGTTCAGAACATTAGACAGGGTGGTAAAGTTTTTGCTACTAAATTCCTTTACTTAAAATAATCATCATGCCAGGGATCCATAGTTTGAAGTGGCAGTTTCTGGACTCTGACATTTCATCTATTTGAAATTTTCTTAGAAGTTTCACACAGAAGTTGGTAGCTAAGGAAAGGAAAATTTGACCAGTAATCAAATGGCAATAAACTTTCAAACAGAGAAAAGAACATAAGTTAGAATAAGACTAAATAGAAAAGGACAAATCTAAGCACATTTCCCCAAAACCCATTAAACCAACATTCCATTCCTAATTTAGTCATGAATGGTTAAGCCTCATATGTGTGATGAATATATATCTTGTGTTTTAAGAAATTCAGATTAAATCTAAGTCTGATAGCACACACCTAAAGTCCTAGCACTTGGAAGGTGAGGTTCGCTTGATTGGTATACTTCTGTGTACCTGTGCATGTGGTGGTGGTGGTGGTGGTGGTGGTGGTGGTGGTGGTGGTGGTGTGTGTGATTGGTAAGAGTAGGTAATCAATGATGACCCACAAACAGAAAAGCTTTGTTACAAAAAGTGTTTAAAAGTCTTGTCTTTAGGAGACCACTACGGGGAAGGAAGTAGATGGATCCTGATTCGTCATGTTGGGAAATGGTTTTCTACTCCATGGTGCCATCTGCCTCTGCAGCTTGGAAATTGGCTTGGTAGTCTATGATTACCTTAGGCCTGCATTCCAATTATCCTGATCTCATTTTTGTGGAGGGATAGTTTGGACAAAATCACCTCTAAGCATTTTAAAGTGAGCTTTGAATGGCCCAAGGTATGTCACGTCCGAAATTACAGCAGGTTTTTGCAGCCACTAATGTTTAGACTTAGAATCTCCATGGCTTCATTCAGTAAGAGCTTTTCTGGAATGTGAGAAACTGTTAGGATGCAGTGCTTGTTTTGTTACATAGTAAGAAACTATCAATGTAATGTACATGACTGGAGCCTTGGATGAAGGCTATGGAATCTGAACCAAGTATTGGTGAAAATACCAAGGGAAATTTATAGTATATTTGGGGTATTTGGCTCCAGGTTAATTTTCTCCCTTTAAATACAAATCTAAGAGAAATAACATAAGGGAATCTAAAAGAAAAATGAGTAGAGGATGATCATTGAAAACCAAGACACATCAACATGAGGGGATAAAAAGAATTCATGGCACTTATATATTTTTCTAATTGATGTATTTGATCTGAGCATCCATTTAAAAGATTGGAGTAGAGGAGAAGAAATAAAATTAGAAACCCCATTGAAAAGGGAAATTCCCTGTGTCTTGTGAGAGGTGTTGTTGGGCTTCTAAAGGGAAAGTTTTGTTCTTTCCCTAGGCTGCATCCATGAGTATGTGGTGAGTGATAATCCTACCTCATGTGTATGAAATCACTCTGAATGATACTCCTATAAGATGCCACTTTCTTCATATTTTTTAACTAGTCAGGTTTCTATAAAGAAAAGAATATAAGAAGCTTGAGATTGATCTGAGAGTATGGAAATAGAATACTTTTTTTTTTTTTTTTTTTTTTTTGGTTTTTCGAGACAGGGTTTCTCTGTGTAGCTTTGCGCCTTTCCTGGAACTCACTTGGTAGTCCAGGCCAGCCTTGAACTCACAGAGATCCGCCTGCCTCTGCCTCCCGAGTGCTGGGATTAAAGGCGTGCGCCACCACCGCCCGAATACTTTTTTTTTTAAACATTTGGGTTATGGATTCAAGATGGACACTGAGATGGATTGGTGAAGGTAAGTTTATTAATGTTGTGGGCAGACAGCAACATGGTAGAGCTCTGAGAGGAGTTGAGGCCCCAGCACCAGAGACAGACAGCACAGCTGAGGCCTCTGAAGAGAAGAATCAGAGTGTGGCAGAGCAAGGCTTCCATTTTATAGCTCCTGAGAATTGAGATGGTTGCACAGCATAAACCTGTAGTCAGCCTCTGAACCTCAGCAAGAGGCAGGGAAGGGCAAGGAGAGCAGGATATGTGGTCACTAAAACCCACTTTGTTATAAACTCACTTCCCCATGTGAGAAATCCTGGTACCTGAAAGTCTATTAGCGAGAAATATATAGACAATGTCTCAGTGGTATCTAAGAGAGTGGGAGGGATACTGCAGGTATTATAGCCTGAGCACAGCTGAATTCTAACTTTTTTTTTTAAGACAGGGTCTCACTATGTGGTGATGGTTGACATGGAGACGAGGCTGACCTTGAAATTGCAAAGATCCACCTGCTTCTGCTTCCCAAGTGCTTGGATTAAAGACGTGTGCCACTATAACCTAACATTACATTCTTACATCCTTATGATATTACATTGATGGCACTAAACTTCCATAACAAATTTATGAAATTTGGGTGAAGGACTTGCTGGTGAGAGTCCAGAAACTAAAAAGGCATGGTGAAGGCCTTTTGATACAGGGACAGTCTTCCCATGGGTATCTCGCTTGTAACTTTCCTAAGCCTTGTAGTTCATGTGATCTCTATAAAAAGAATTCAGATGAGTTGTCAGTAAGAAGTAAAGGTTCTTGCTGCCAAGCCTGACAACCTGAATTTGATCCCTGAGACTCGCATGATGGAAGGGGAGAACTGGTTCCCAAAAGCTGTCTTCTGACCTCCATACTCAGGCCATGGCATGTGTGTATACACACAGATATCATATACATAAAACATATTAAAATGTAAGAGTCCAGCACTTTGGAGGCAGAGGCAGGCTGATCTCTGTGAATTCCAGGCCAGCTGGGCTACACAGGTCTCTATAAAGGGACCATTGTGATGCTTTATATTATAGACAGACTTTATATATTTCTACAGTCTCTAAAGAAAGCAGCTTTCCTGGGAGGCCTTTTTCTTGTCAAAATGGTGGACTGGTTTTTAGTTCTACCCTTATAGAAGAGGGCAATTGCATGTCTTTATTCTTTATCAGAAACTCTCCTTTAATACATATTCATACAAGGTTGATATGACTAAGTGTTGGAGTAGGAACAACTCCTGGCATGAGAACAGAATCTCTGGGCTGGATAGATGTCTGGGATTACAGTTGGGCAGGATCATTCCTTGTCCTAAGGACACACCTGAACCCATGCTAAAGAGAAAGTCGGAATAATTAGTCCTCTGACGAGATACCATACTGAGCCAGCCCTTAGGTCAGTAGCAGATGGGCCACTGCCATGTAGGTGTGTAAGTCTGCCCACTCTTCTGGATTAGCCCTTTCCCTCTCTTCTGTCTCTTCTCTAAGCACGCTCTCCTTAACACCTTGGGTCTTCCCTTCAACATTGCTGCTTCCTTACTCTTTCTTTAAAGCTTCCTTCCTTGCCATGTGGCTGCTTGTCTGCCCTGTGTCTGACCTCCACGACAGTTTAAAATGGCTTTTATCCCTTCTTTCCTCCATTCTCCTTCTCCAGGAAGCTGCTGAGGCTTTGCAGCTTGCTGATCCTGAGGTTTTCCTTTTTAACTTGATATTGACCTTGAGATTCTTTTTGAGACCAAGAACCCCCAAAGGGGACCCCAATTCCTCCTGTATCGTTGGCTTACACCTGTAATCCTAGCAAATGAGAGCTTGGGGCAGAAGAATAAAGAGTTCAACATTATCCTCAGTTACACAGTAGGAGTTTGAAGCCAGCCTGGGCTACAAGAGAGCCTGACTCAACAAAAGAAAACAAGCTGGTGGTGCCATATGCCTTCAATCTCAGCACTCTGGAGGCAGAGGCAGGCGGATC